ACCAACCATCCAACCAACCAACCAACTAGCCAACCAACCAATAAATCAACCAATCATCCAAGGAATCAACCAGCTGGCCAATCATTCAACCAACCCACTAAACCAATCAACAGATCAAGATAGTAAGGGGCATTCACTTTTATACTATGGAATGGATAAGCAGTACCGAAGACTTTGAGGTGAGGTTTAGTTCATTTTCTCACTCAATCTTTCAAATAATTATTCCATTTTTTGTTTATTTATTCATTTATTGATTCACATTAAAATCATTTTTAGCCACAAATTTGATGATTTAAATTGAAGAGAAAATGATTTCATTATGCACTGGAGGAAACTGGGTAGTATATCAAATTTTCAACATAAAATTAAGAATATTTTTAATATTTATAAACCCAGATTACGATGAAAAAATTAACCAATGCAAAAAAATCTACGCCATTTATTTAAAACTTGAATATTCATTTTTTCCTATTACGTCACAAAAACACTGCTTAAAAAACAGATGACGTATTTTTTCAAATTTGAATTAAAAAAAATCAAACATTTAACATGTTGAATGAGTTCGTCAAAGAGAAAATCAGACCATTGGCTAGATGCTTTTACTTTTCTTTTGAAACATTTTTTGATAAAATCTTTTTTCGATTAGTTAATCGGTCGATTAATTGGTTGGCTGGTTAATTGGTTAATTGGTTGATTGATTGGTTTATTGATTGATCGATTGATTGACGTAATTTTCCCAAACCCAGAAACCAGTCCGGATCGAGTTAGTGCAAATAACTGTCATTAGACTTGAGAGGCACTACTTCGAAGCGAAAGTAACTCTAAGGATAAGCTGGAGGGAAGAATCGCTGGACGGAGTAATAAGTTAAAATTGTTGTAATTGTAGATGGTTCAATGGCTAAGGCGCCTGTCTTTGCTCTTTCAGTGGCTGGCTTCGGATGCCAGAAGATTCCTAAAAATTAAAACTTACTTAACTTATAAAATAACAAAAATTTATTTCAATCCTACTAGCAAAGAACTAACGATCTAAAGCTAAACTTATCAAAATACTGGAACCCGGATATAATGATAATGAACATGGTTGGTAAGACGTACACCAACTCGCATGTTGAAGCAGACATCAACACAAAGGGGGAGACCATCCTAATCGAGACAAAGTCATTCCAAGGATTTTTCAAATCTACCTTCTTGATGAAATGTTTCCCGTTCGATATACAGGTTAACCACTAGCATTAGATGACACGTTTGTGTGTAATGGTTGAGGCGCCTGGCACTGCTGCTGCTCTGACCGGATTGAAATACATGAAGATTTTTACATATCACATAAATTCTGTGTTTGTTGTTAATGCCTCTTAGAAAAGTACTAAAGAGTAGCAGTAGTAGTAGTAGTAGTAGCAGTAGTAGCTGTGGCTGTAGTAGAAATAGTAGTAGTAGTAGTAGTAGTAGTAGTAGTAGTAGTAGTAGTAGTAGTAGTAGTAGTAGCTGTAGTAGTAGCTGTAGTAGTAGCTGTAGTAGTAGCTGTAGTAGTAGCTGTAGTAGTAGCTGTAGTAGTAGCTGTAGTAGTAGCTGTAGTAGTAGTAGTTGTAGTAGCAGTAGTAGTAGTAGTAACTGTAGTAGTAGTAGTAGCTAGCAGTATTAGCAGTAGTAGTAGTAGTAGCTGTAGTAGTAGTAGTAGTTGTAGTAGTAGTAGTAGTAGCTGTAGTATTAGTAGTAGTAGTAGTTTTAGCTGTAGCTGTAGTAGAAGTAGCTAGCAGTATTAGCAGTAGTAGTGGTAGTAGCTGAAGTAGTAGTAGTAGTGGCTGTGGTAGTAGTGGCGGCTATAATAATAATGTTTTATTTTCAAAACCTAGAGACTCCATTTAGTCATACAGTCGGCTAAGGAAGACAGTGAAATAGCCATGCTTTATAAGAAGAGGTCAAATATTGAAGGTAGTTTCTCCGACCGAAATTTCTAAAAAATATAAGAAGAAATTATTATTTCTAATAAAATTATTATTATTAATAATAATAAATTATAATTATATATATTTTCAATAAAAATTATGAAGGAATTTATCAATCTTTGAGTCAGAAGGGCTTCATCTTGAGTTGCATATACGAAACGAAATCATTGCAAGAAAGCAAGCAGTTTTCTTATTTTACTATGGACAAACAGGGTTATTATTATTATTCTTATTATTAATCTTATTATTTTTATTGTTATAATATTTTATAATTAAAATATATATAATAATAATAATAATGGTACGTTTTAGGTCTAGAGATGACCGTCTATATACGTCGCGAACTTTACGCTTTCATGGCCAGGTATTCATTCTTGGTTAGGTGTCTAATTCTTTTATTAATTTTTTCATTCATTCTGTTATTCATTCTTTTATTTTTTAACTTTTCTTCATTCATTCATTTGTTCATTTATTCGGTTAACAATATTTTTATACACCCACTTGTACATTCATTCTTATTCTTTCATTCATCCATTCAACATTCATTCATTCGTTCGCTCGCTCGTTCGTTCGTTCGTTTTTTCATCATTCGTTCGTTCGTTCTTTCCTTCGTTCGTTCGTTCGTTCGTTCGTTCGTTCGTTCGTTCGTTCGTTCGTTCGTTCGTTCGTTCGTTCATTCATTCATTCATTCATTCATTCATTCATTCATTCATTCATTCATTCATTCATTCATTCATTCATTCCTTCATTCATTCATTCATTCATTCATTCATTCATTCATTCGTTCATTCATTCAATCATTCATTCATTCATTCAGTGTGTCCTATATGTTGTGGTACTATTCACTCTCTTGTTTGACCAAGATCTGTACAAATTCGCTCGCATTGAAATCAGCTTGGGAGTGTTCTGGCTGACAGTCATAAGTGGCTATCTAGCCGCGAAGAGGAACAATCTACTAACTGTTACATACCAGGTTAAAATTGTTATTTTTGTTGTTGTTGTTGTCACTGCTGTTGTGGATGTTATAGTTGATGATGTTATTGATGCTATTTATACACAGACATACATTAACGACAGCATTAAACGTTATACATACTCCAAACATAAACAGCAACACAACCAAAAACAAACCAAAAGACACATACTTTACAAAGCAGCTACACACACACACATGTACAAACACAACAACAGCTAAACAAACAAACAAGAAAACACATACGCAAACAAACACACACACACATACACACACACGCACTCACACTACGCAGAACGTCTGCTTCTTAATCACCATGTACAACAACCTCTTTCTAGTTTTTTATCACTTTCTGGGTGAACACTTCTTCAAAATTCTTTCAAACATGGGACACAATATGAAGGGCTTAGATATGTTCATCCTCTATCTAGACATAAGCATCGTTGTATCGCTTCAGTTGTTTTCTCTTTGGGTTTTTACTAGACAGGTATGTGCAGCTGTAGCTGTAGTAGTAGCAGTAATAGCAGCAGTGCAGCTGTAGTAGAAGTAGTAGCAGTAGAAGTAATAGTAATTGTAGTAGTCTTAGTAATAATAGTAATAGTATTGTTATTATTATTGTTATTATTATTTTCATCACCATTATTATTATTATTATTTTCGATTTTTTTTTTTTCATAAATAGCTCAGATCAAAATGGTCGGTTTTTAAGCATCCAAGGCCGTTTTCAAGAGATAAATGAAAGAGAGAATAATAACAACAAAAATAACAACTTTATTATTATTATTGTTGTTGTTGTTATTATATATTAGTTAATTATTTTATCTAATTTAAATAATTAATTAATTAATTTTATTATGATACTTTTTGAGTCGGGGAAAAAAGACCTAATTAAGTTGCTTTGTTGTTATTAATGCACGTTCGAATGTTTGACGAAGGAAGTGATTGAATGGCTTTATCATTATTATCATTATTATTATTTTTGTTATTGTTGTTGTTGTTATTATTTATTATTATAATTATTTTCATAAATCACCATCGAAATTAAAATGCTTTTTTTCATTGTCCAAATTCATATAGGAACATTCCACGGTCATCATCATCATTGTTCAATTATTATTATTATTGTTATTATTATTATTGTTACTATTATTGTTATTATTGTTATTACCATTAATTATTTATTCATAATTTTTATTCTTATCGGGCTTTCATCAATTTAAAGAGAGAAAAAAACATGCAGACGCACTGGCGTCTTGTTTTTCAATTTAATGAATCGTAAAAAAAACATACAAACATACATACATACATACATACATACATACATACATACATACATACATACATACATACATACATACATACATACATACATACATACATACATACATACAAACAAATATACATACATACATACATACATACATGCATACATACATACATACAAACATACATACATACATACAATCAAACATACATACATACATACATAAAAACATACATACATACATACAAACAAACATACATACATACATACATACATACATACATACATACATACATACATACATACATACATAAATATACTTACTGACAATACATTCAGTTAGATTATACATATTTATATAAATCTTTAGGCTATTTTATGTGGCCCGTGAGACCTTGTTCGCCACAAAAAAGGTCGCCAGCCACAAAAAATAACCAAAAAAGAAGCCACAAAGTTAAAAAAATTCTTCCCCAGGTCGAAAAACTTTGCTATTTAATTACATATGCGGCCCTTCAAGGGTAAAATAGTTCCCAATGTGGCCCTCACAGCAAAAAGTTTGCCCACCCCTGATGTAAACCAAAGTATTGTTAAGTATATAACGTATCATTCATTCGTTTATTCATTCACTCATCTGTTTATCTAATCATTCATCCATAAATTCATCTATTCATTTATTTGTTCATTCATTCATTAAAGCAATGAAAATAATTTACGACAATTTCCTAATAATTTTATTAGTTTTTTAATGTCTTACATACTCCATTAAGTATGTGTGTGTGTGCGCGCGCGTGTGTGCGTGCGTGTGTGTGTGTATGATGTGTGTGCGTGTGTGTGTGTGCGTGTGTGTGTGTGTGTGTGCGTGCGTGCGTGTGTGTGTTAGTTGTTCTTTTCCAGTGAACTTCATTATTAAGATCGTTGCGAAGAAATAAGGGAATGGACAATTATTTATTTTAATTATAGATTTTTAATTAATTTAATTGATTCTAATTGAATTTAAAAACTTTGCTTTGAAAATAACACGCAGGCACACACACTAATGTTACTACGACAACTACTACTACCATCACTACTATTACCACTACTGTTACTACCACAACTACTACTACCATCACTACTATTACCACTACTACTACTACTACAACTGCTGATACTACTACTATTACTACCACTACTACAACTGCTGCTGCTACTGCTACTACTACTACTACTTTATTAAAATCTGAATCTATTGAAACGGTCTCTAGAGATGAAAAGTTTATTTTGAGATTTCTGAAAATTCTGAAAAAAAATTCTTTCGTATGAAGAATAATCGCCAGATGTATCACATGAGGTATTTTTCATTTTTAAACAGCAGACAAGCGAAACAAAACAAAAAAAAATCATCCAAAGCAAGTAATCATTCATTCATTTATTCATTCACGAGAGGATTAACTATTGTTGTTACTAATGAATAATGATCCGGATCTGAGGATAACAGCACACACACACAGACACACACACACACACATACATACATTCACAAATACATACACACACACACATACATACACATACTAAATACATATACACATCCATCCATACTTCTATCCATTACACACATACACACACAACACACACAAATTTATCTATCCATTACACACATACATACACATACTACATACATATACACATCCATCCATACTTCTATCCATTACACACATACACACATACACACATACACACACACAAATCCATTTATCCACACACACACACACACACACACACACACAGACACACACAGACACACGCAAAATGCTTCCATTATTATTTTGTCTCCCATTGTATAATTTAGACTTTCTGGCGCCCTCCATTATTGGAGCGTTTAATTTTCAATCTATTGTTTCGCTCTGTATGTTGGTTTTTATATATCTTGAATTTGTAATGAACAACAACAACAACAACAACAACGACAACAACAACAATAATACCAACACCAACATTAACAACGATAACAACAACAACAATGATAACAACATTGGTAATAAGAGTCATAAGAATGTTATCGTTATTACTAATCTAATAACAAGAATGTTTCATTGTTATGTACATGTACAATATAGATCATGAACAATATAGATCATTGTCTGTCTGTCCGTCTCTCTCTCTCTCTCTCTCTCTCTCTTTCTCTCTTATTATTATTATTTGTTATTATCGTTATTATTATTTGTTATTATCGTTATTATTATTTGTTATTATTATTTTTAATATTATTATTTGCAGTTGTTATTATTATTATTGTTTGTTATTTTTATTTAATTTATTCAAGGTTTGACTGCTTAGTCGCTTCTAATCCTTAAAAAAAAAATTCTTCCCCAATTCAATTTTCTGAATGGTCCTTAGAATAAGTGTCTCGTTTTGCAATAGCAACAACAACACAAAATAAATAATAATAATAATAATAACAATAATAATAATAAACAACTATAATAACAAAAATAATAATAAACAACTATAATAACAAAAATAATAATAAACAACTATAATAACAAAAATAATAATAAACAACTATAATAACAATAATAACTTTACCCTCCTAAAAACTTTAAATTCCTAATGAACTGTCAGTCATGTTGTACCATATAAAAGCCTACCCTAGCCGAACTCTTAACGATTTCATTGTTAAACGCATTTTCGGGATTTTTAAAGTTCTTCGTGTGGCATTTCAGGTACATTTTTGGCGATTTCGCTTCTAGGTACTGGTCTTATTGTGGTATAATTGTTAGATTGCGTGTATTTAAGATATTTTTGAGCTATTTTTGACGTAATTTATCTTTTTGTGTGTGCATTTTTCACGTGTTTTGTGTTGTGTATGTTTGTATTATTGTTTTATTGTACTGCATACATGTATACAGTATTTTGTATTTTGGTATTTAGTGTATTTTTGGTATTTGTTGGTTCTTTGGTATGTTCGTTTATTGTTCTTTTGTTTTTATGGAAATTTTTATTCTTTTAGATGAGTATTTTATGATATTTTTGTTCTTCGCTATGCAGATTTCATTATATTATTGTTTTTTATGCGTATTCTATTGTATTTTTGTTCTTTGGTATAAATCCCTGAACAAAACATTTTCTATTCTATGCATTTCCGGGTGCTTTTTTGTCTTTTGGAGATGCAACCTTCTAAGAAAATGGCGCGAAAGAAGAGGAGATTTAAAGTTTTGAAATCAATCCCTATTATTGTTACTTGGAAATGTATCGTTATTTTTGTTGGTGTGTGCGTGTGTGTATTTGTGTGTATGTATGAATGAGATAGAGAAAGAGAGAAAAAGAGAGAGAAAGATAGAGAGAGAGAGAGAGAGAGTGTGTGTGTGTATGAATTTTTCTTTTCATTTCCTATAAGAATCCATTATCTTTTTCTCTTCATTTAGCCATTAGGTAACCATCATAATGCAAAAAAATTGTTTTTTGCTTCATTCTTTCCGTTCTTCGATCATTCATTCATTTAATTTTAAATTCCTTTTCTCATTCATTCATTAGTTTATTTCTTCATTCATTCATCTTCTCTTTTTTATATTTTATTTTTTGCCTGTAAAACGCGCCCTTCTTATTGTTCCACAAAATCTGAAGGCGTTTATAACCGTGTCATAATAATAAAAGTAATAAAACAAGAAAAACAACAACAATAATAATAATAATAATAATGTAGATATTTATTACTATAAATATTATAAAGACCTTACGGATGGTTCCTTCAAAACTGGAGTTGAGGCCTCGGAGAAGAGCCGGCAAATGTAGTCGTTTGATGCCTTGAGTGACGAAGTTGTCGGCCCCCATCCAGACGACAAACGAAACCGTGTCGACCAAATTCATCCGCCCCAGCACCACATCGGCACGTGTATTTGTTTTGAACAGCCAAGCTGAGTCTGAAACCTATGGCAAATCTCACAGTGGCGGAAGATTTATAAGCGATTGGAGCCAGCTGAACCACACTGAAAAAGCCCATCCCACTAAATGGCAGCTGAGCCTGGGACCAACCATTGCCAGTCAATTGAATATTGCAAATTGACGACAAGGTATTTATATAGCGCCAATTATAATTGCTTCTCATCAGCGCTCTCTTCATATAAAGCATGTTGAAAGCGAAGCCATCATCGGTGGAGATCACTAGGAGTTACCAAATAGGTATGTCTTTAAACATTTTCTAAACCCAGCTAATGATAACC